AAGCAGTGGTATCAACGCAGAGTACTGGATTGACTGGAAACTTCGCCCATAGAGGTTTTCGGACTTGCTAACTACAGAAATAGTGCCCTCTGTGCAGCATAAGTTCTTTTGGCAGAGTTATGCTGAGAAGAATGCTGCGATACTACGCAAGTTCCTAAATTTGTCTGCCCTTTTTCGCGCATCTGTTGGACAATTTACCTGCTCCTTTTTGTAATTCGATCAATAGAGACAGTGCTCTCAGTGCATGCTTAAACTAGGCCCTTATCTGTATTGATCGCCGAACTGTGAGCATACGAATTCGCGTCCTAATGGAAATCGTTCCAAATTTCAAGATCGCATATGTTGGCCAAATATCGCCGCGAATGGTTACAGATGACTCTGATTGCAGATATTATGTTTATATGCACATGTAAATTGATAATTTATGCCGCATACTGCTGCTTACCCCTTTGTGCCAACTCTTACACCTGTAACTCAAAGTTTGCAAAAAAGAATCGATAAGCCGATTCGACCGATGACGAAATGTAATCTATCAGTCCCAGCTCGACTCTTAGGGCTGGGTTCGCACTGATTCCCATGTTCCGGAACTGTTCCCGCACAGTCCCGCAATGTTCCCGCACTGTGCTGGGAACTGTGCGGGAACAGTTCCGGAACATGGGAATCAGTGCGAACCCAGCCCTAAGAGTCGAGCTGGACTGATAGATTACATTTCGTCATCGGTCGAATCGGCTTATCGATTCTTTTTTGCAAACTTTGAGTTACAGGTGTAAGAGTTGGCACAAAGGGTAAGCAGCAGTATGCGGCATAAATTATCAATTTACATGTGCATATAAACATAATATCTGCAATCAGAGTCATCTGTAACCATTCGCGGCGATATTTGGCCAACATATGCGATCTTAAAATTTGGAACGATTTCCATTAGGACGCGAATTCGTATGCTCACAGTTCGGCGATCAATACAGATAAGGGCCTAGTTTAAGCATGCACTGAGAGCACTGTCTCTATTGATCGAATTACAAAAAGGAGCAGGTAAATTGTCCAACAGATGCGCGAAAAGGGCAGACAAATTTAGGAACTTGCGTAGTATCGCAGCATTCTTCTCAGCATAACTCTGCCAAAAGAACTTATGCTGCACAGAGGGCACTATTTCTGTAGTTAGCAAGTCCGAAAACCTCTATGGGCGAAGTTTCCAGTCAATCCAAGATGATCAATATTTTAGCCAAAACCCGTCGGCGAGCTTCACAGCCCAGAACGAGAAAAAATGAAAGGTTCCGAATTCCTTGGAAAGCTTGCGCATGGAAGTTATCTAACCTGCTGATCACGAAAAACATACCTGCTTTGCAAATTAGTGTCTTACTGTATGGTTACGTTAACGAAAATTTGAAAGACATCGATTTTTTCAAAATTAAAC